GGTTCCTTTACCATCTGCCAATTCAGCAAGTATTCCTGAAGAGGCATATCCGTTACAATCGGAACTTTCACAGAATCATCGAGTGCTTCACACTCACATCTTCAAAGAGGTCATTCCGCCTCCCGATTCAGGTCGGCCCAGTCGACTGATGATCACAGAAGTCGATCGCTATGGAGTGGAACGCAACCGCTAAGCGGAATTCTTCTTCAACGGAATTGTTGGTCATGTCCGATCGTATGATGGAGGACACATCAACAGTTGGGACCAAGCCACTCGCCTTGCCAATTATTGGCGTCGGTACTTCAACATTCCTGAAGTGCATGCAGACAATACGACATGGTCCTCTTTTCAGCCGGACCATCACAGATCGTCTGACAATCCTGAAAACACAGCTCAGGAACAGCCAGAATCTGAAATGGAGGACGACACCTCGGTGACTGTTGAAACAGGGCACTTGTCGATTCCACGTCAGGTTCATCAGCTGGCATCTTTGCTCCACAACATGCTCCTATCTGACAGGGAGTACAATGCACCGATCCTTGAGAAGCTTGAGATCCCTCCGGCAGATCCAAATACCAACCCTATTCAGTTGTTCACGGCAAGCGATTTGGCTCACCTTTCGAGCCATTTGGCAATCACTGCGCAGACTCTTTCCCAACATGCTCAGAATCAAGTGCTAAATGACCTTTCGGAAATCTCCGACTGAGCGAAGCAAGAGCTGCACTTCAACTTCTGAAGGGGCCGGTAATTCATACTTTGTCACTGGTCTTTTGATGCCAAAATCCAATACCAGTTGACCGTATCAGAGCGTGACAAACCTTTCAGGTGTCAAAAAAGCCCTGCGCTAGCAGGGCGTGTGTGTAAACCATCTGAACAGATGTAAAACTTCTTTTTGCGATTTTTCCTGATTTTGTCGGCACTAAACATACTGCAGGGAGTAGCGGCAGATCATTTGGGACCGCTACCAACGAAGGCACCCATTTGATCTGGTGATGCAGATTGGGACGCCAATCTGCGCCTGCACCAATTTTCTTTTGTCAATGGCAACCGGCCAAGCCCAGAACCGGCATGTCGTTTTTCAAACAGTTTTCCAACCAAACTTTCAGTTTTCCTTTCGATTCCACTTCACTGCCTGCACGGCTGTCGCAATCTGTTTGGAGAGAACCATTTCGATTTTTCTAGGAATTGGTCATCAACCAATTCCTGTCAGGTTTAATTGGAGTGTTTTTTGCACGTAAGATACATTCCACATCAGAATTCGTAATGACTGTTCTGAGCAAGTGTGTGTGTGTGCAAAGCGTGTTCGAAACATGTGCTGGGAAAAAGGGAAGAATGAGCAAAACATAAATACGTTGGTATCATTTTCCGACACTTTTTTTTTGCCGCATGAGATGTCAGCGGCTTAGCCTCTGTAAGTTTTTTTTCTGGTCCGTGAGTAGAGTCAAGAAGATTTCTTAAACAGATGATCCGTTTCATTTTAGGTATTTTTGGTACTTGTGCCAGGGGCTGACTTCAAGCGACCCAAGAATCTCTGCATTTGGGAGGCAAGTATCCCAGATCTGCCAGCGATTCAGAAGTTTGGAACCGAGGCCGGCGTCACAAGTCATGAGGAATTCAACTTGAGCTTTGTGGAGCTACTTTGTGCTCACAGCATTAGATTTGACGATATTTGACGATTTCAATCAGTTCTATCTTTTTGTGTTCGTCGCTTTGCACATTCCTTTAACCGTTTGTTTCATGTTTGCTTCCGTTTGTTGGTTTTTTGTCTTGGCCTACATTGAACAGTGCGCGAAATGTGCTTGTGCGTGCGTACCATCTGTATAGATGTAAAACTTCAGTATATTGCAGGGGGATGAGGGTCCCTTGGTGTGCTTCATCTAACAAAGACCGCACCAAGTGGATGTGATATCGGTGCATGGCCAGCGCTGACGTACCTGCAATTTTAATATATAAATATAGTCCCGCCCCTGGGCGCATATAAGTCGCAGCTGGGGGGGACATATTGTTTATCGCTGTTGCTTTATAGGACCAACGTCTACTGTGATTTTACGTCTTTACATTCATATATTTTCTTATTACTTGTCATTCTTCGTGTCATTTAACTGTTGGTGTTTTTGCACGTCCGATGCATTCCACATCAGAATTCACAATGATTGTTCTGAGCAAGTGTGTGACTCATGCTGGATTCGTCAAGGTGGCACGATCCCCTCGGGGAATGCTTGTCTAAGCAAAAGATTGATGCAACGACTTGATTTCTGAATTTACACATTTTAAGCTAGTAATTCGTCTAAGTAAAGTGAAACAGCTGGCCTTTTTTCGATTTTCACCCTGTCGACTGTCGGTGTTTTGACTACTGCCCGCTGTGCTGGGGACTCACCATTTTTGACTGCGGGTTTCTGCATAGCCTGAAGCCGCGACAACATTCCTTCTTTTTGAATACGGCTCGAGAGTTTGACAGACAGGCATCAGCATTCATTTCATTTCATGATGATTTGACCAGGCAGGCACATGACTTTAGGTGTGGTCTTTTCCTCTTGATGGTCTCTGGTGAGGTTCAATTGTGCACGTAATTCAAGGGTTGACGACGTAAGCTGTCCATGTGGTTGACTTGAAACTGTGGCCAGTGAGCCAGACGAGGGGATTCTGCATGACATGTGGTTGCATCTTTTTATTAACTAGTTCCCCATGGGTCCCTTATTTCATGTGTTCTTGTGTTCTCCCCTCTTCAGGTAGGTTGGGTCCTTTGCGTGCTGAGGTAGACGTAGGTTTTCGCCATGTTAGGTTGGTTCAGGCGCTTCCGTTTTCCCCCCCTCCGCTGGTCTTGTTCCGTTGTCCGTCGGCCTCCGCTTTTCTTTTCCCTTGCCTTTTCAGGGTTTGCCCGTTCGGGGCCAGGTGTGTCGTGTTGGTGTTCTCTCTGTCCCTCTTCTTTTGCGTTCCCCTCTTCGCGTCCTGGTTAAGTAATTGTCATTTCATTTTCATTGCCACCTCACTTTCATTGTCATTTCATCTGCCCCGCTGCGGCGGGGCGTGTGTCTGCGTGTGTGTGTGAGAGTGTGAGTGTGTGAGTGTGTGTGTCTGTGTGTCTGTGTGTCTCTGTGTCTCTGTGTCTCTGTGTCTCTGTGTCTCTGTGTGTGTGTGTCTGTGTGCGTGTGTGTCTGTGTGTGTGTCTGTGTGTGTGTGTCTGTGTCTGTGTCTGTGTCTCTGTCTGTGTGTGTGTGTACCGTCTGTAGATTGTATAGATGTAAAACTTCAGTACATTGCAGGGGGATGAGGGTCCCTTGGTGTGCCTCATCTAACAAAGACCGCACCAAGTGGATGTGATATCGGTGCCTGGCCAGCGCTGACGTACCTGCAATTTTAATATAAATATAGTCCCGCCCCTGGGCGCATATAAGTCGCAGCTGGGGGGGACATATTGTTTATCGCTGTTGCTTTATAGGATCAACGTCTACTGTGATTTTACGTCTTTACAATCATATATTTTCTTATTACTTGTCATTCTTCGTGTCATTTAACTGTTGGTGTTTTTGCACGTCCGATGCATTCCACATCAGAATTCGCAATGATTGTTCTGAGCAAATGTGTGCTGGAATCCCAAATTGAACAGTCACATGTACAGTTCTTTTGGCTGGTTCCTGGATTCCTGGGTTTCTGAGAGTGTCGCTGGTTTCACCAAAAATGTCGCCTTCGCTGTTTTTTTTCATTTTCTTTGTGAAGAAAGCGATTGAGACATAAACATGAAACATTAACATCATGGCGTCCAGAAACACTCCAAGGGGGATTACGATTCAGGTGATCACCTGCTGTCCCTTTGAGGAGAAAGGCACTGAATGAAATGGACCCCGTCGATTCTCACGTTTTTGCAGAAGTTTCTGCAGAAGTTGCACCTTGGCAGAATGTAATACAGAAATCTCCAAGCCGGATGTGAAAGACAGCCACCCTTATTCAGAAACAACATGAAACGACTAATATTGGATGACAGAAAATTACGAAGCTAAACGGAACCGTGCCACATATTCAGCCTGTTCTTGAAGGAATTGACCAGGTAGTGCTTTGGGTGTTTGGTCGCCGGCTTCTTAAGTTTTCTATCCCTAGAAGGTAGGTTTGATGCATTGTCCATTGGTGGCTAAAGTTTCAGAAGTAGAGATGGATTTGGTTTCAGAAACTCTGGGACCCCTTCGCTTTGACTTCATTTCCAGCAGTTTGCAATGTCGAGCCTGTCACTTGAGAAACCAAGATTTCGAAGAGGGTTTTGACTCAGTCTTCAACTCCTTTCAGGTTTCTTCTGCTTTAGTCAGCCCTTATTACTAGGGGGCGTTTTTTTCTTCACATGACATGGCAGTGATATCGGTTGGTTCCATCGAAATTTTGCAAGCATCATTTGTTTTTACCGCTGTGAGCAGAGCGGCACAGTAGGGCTCCCAATGCCTGCCAGGTTCCACGTTCCAATACTTCAAAGAAAGAAGAATGCCAAGGTCATAGTGAGGCTGGAAGCATCAACAGCGATGATCTATGGCACACGTGAAACATGTCTGAGACATGTTTGGTGCCATCTTGCTACCTTTACTTGCGTAGCATTCTCTTAAGCGAAAAAACATGGTCTGCAAAGCAGACGTGAGCGGATTTTACATACACTCATCATTGCCGCATCTTGCTTGAACCTTTTTGGGCGGAAAATGAAGCTTTATATCAGAATGTGTTCTCGTCATGAACCTGAGCCAACTGCAGCATCAATCAAATCACATCCAGTCTTTGGCTACGTTATGCTACGTTTAGCAGCCAAGAATTGCATGGCGCAGCCAATGCGAAGCATTGCTCGGAACAGGTCTGCTCATCTAGAAGTCCAGTCAATCAAGTCTTTTCAAGCACCACGAAATGTTAAATTCCGCTTCACTTAGTCCAGTGATCACAAGAAGTCCTTCACTGCAGATTCTTCAATATTCTTCATAGGCTCGGTCCTCAAAGTAAAATCCTTTTTCGCGTGCAAAGTTGGACACCCCTGGACGAAAAGCTGATGGCGCAGTCATCGATGGCAATGTTGCTGATAGTTGCACCTCGGATGCTGTTTTGTGCTGTTAAGTGTTGTATCATGTTGTATCCACTGGCTGTCAGATTGCCTTGAAAATCCGTTTTTGACAGGACAGTTCGCATTCCTTCTTGCTTCTAGTTGCTTGCATGGGTCATGTCATGCCACGTCATGTCCATTGTTTGGTGCTTCTAGTGCCAAAGGCTGCCACTTCTCGATCTGTCATTGAAAGCGGCTCACTGTTAGGGTCATGATTTGATCCAACTTTGACGCGATGTTTTGAACCCGTCCATGAACTATAACTATATCAGCATGAAATATCATGAAATTGTGTTCGGACATTTTGGACCGAGGCGGCCCACATTCGAATTTCTTGGAGTTCTTGCCTTCAGGAGGCTATACCCCTCGAGCGGCGCAAGAATTTGATCCGAAATGGGACTAGCCAGCCTTTAGGCATATGGAACGTTTATGGTCAGAAGTTTCAAGTTGATACTCCCGTTGCGGTCTTCCAAATCTTGGTGGAAGAAGTGCTTGGCTACAATGTCTTTGTAGATTCACGAGGCACTGGCAACATGGCACATGCGTTTTATGCGCTGGCTGGGTGTGAACAGCCCGAAAATGCACAAAATCAGAGTTGCACCGGAAGACCAACCAAACACCATGTCTCTATGGCCTTACATCTCAGTAACAATATCTCTGCACGGCATTTCGACAAGGTGCAAAGGATGAAGATGGGTGGAATGTTGGAAGATCTGGGGAGCGTGGGCTTTGTAAGTCAAAGTGGGATCCAAATCAGCAGCTCGACCTTGCAAAGAGGTCGTGAATCTTCAGACCCGCTTTTCTTGGATGATTTTCGGAGCTACGACTCAAGATTCCACAGTCCTGAACGATTCTTTCAAGATTTCCGTGACATTGACAAGAACTTGCTACTTCCTTGCAGGGCCTGGGACACGGATCCTGAGATGCCATTCTACTTCAATGCTACTGGAGATGCTGAAGGTTTCAACGTGAATTTCAGCCGGGCTGAATGCTTCGGGGGCGGAGACGGCAGATGGTGGTTGGCCCCAAGTTGCCGATCAAATCGCCGATGCCTTCCTTGCATCACAGGCAGTAGTGATGGCAAGTGGGCAATCTATCCAGTGGAAATTATGCAGAAGGCCGGATCGGGCTGCTGGGTTGTTGCAGGGAAAGATGAGACAGAAAAAACATAGAACGGAATCGCAGCTTGAGACGAGGCTTGATACTATAGCTCAGAACAGTTGAGATGGATTGAGGTAGGAACGAAAGGAAAGCGGATGAGCAATGAGAAGCTTTCCTTTTAATTAAAGAAATTGGTAAGGATAGGATACTACCAGTCAGCATAGTCAAAAGCAAGGCAAGCAGGCAAGAGGTTCTTTCTCATTTACTTGTACGACGCTTCTGATTGAAGCAAAATCTACGCTGCATTGGGATCGTTTTAGTTTAACGGTTTCAAAACATGGACCCAAGGTTGTTCAGAGTTGGTTTTATCCAGGTTCAAACTTGTATTGACGAATGAATCTTTTGGGATTCAGAAGGCATGTGCGATGCAATCATGAGCCTTCATGTGCAGCATCGAATTGCCATGATGTTGAATGAGGCAGCCATTTGGCGCATGCCCCTGGCACTGGGAGTGGCTCACTACAACGGATCTTCGGCTTTCAAAGAGTTGGTGATGACGTACAGAGATGTTCTCTTCATGTTCTGGGCGCCATCCGTGGAATTCATTGAGATCTCCCCAGTGTTCGTGCGCTTTCCCAATTTCAACTTCACACAGTGGTATAATGGAATCATGGCTTCCACCAGGCAGGGAGAGTATCCCAGACATGTCGTAAGCAACGAACTGATGGCAATGGCGCCAGATGCGCGGGTCATGCTTCAACGAATGAAGCTGTCTTCGGAGGAGCCGCACGGGAAATCCAGCGTGGAACATCTTCTGCATTGTTCGCTTGAAAATATGAACATTAACAGGATTTAACAGGATTTAACATGTATAACAGACCCAAAAAGCAGCAGAAACCACTGGTTTTTGAAATTTTCTCGTTGTTTTTAGCATTTTTCGTCCCATTTGTGTTGCGGTCAGGATCTGAATCGAATGATGCTTCGGAGCTATTCGCTCTATGCCATGGACCCTTGCTTCAGCTGTGCGGCCTGGAACGGGGCCTGCGCCTGGTTAGAGAACAACCGAAACGTTTGGATGCCTTGGATTCCACAGAAGACAGCTTGTTTCGCCGGACAAGGGATGTATGATGCTCCTCAGCTTCAAAACTTAGAGATCCGTGTGGATTTCGGCTACCCATGAACTTCTCATACTCATAGATTCTTCAGCCTTGGATTCCAATATATAGTTCTTGCAGCTGAAGCTCCAGATTCCGCTTGTCAATAGGCCATCAGGCGGAAAAGCATCATATGCATCTACGTAGAGAGCCCCCTTTCTTACAAGAGCTGTCAGTACCACTCTGAAATGAAAAAATCGAGAGGCCCCGCCTTCCATTCAGCTGTGCAGATTTGTTGCAGAATCATATGTTGTAGGTGCCATTCAAAGTGATTTCATAAGATGTAAGGGTTCCCGCTTCACTCTGGGGGTCTGGGGGTTGAGGGTGTGTTCGCTCGACGTTGCGTTCACGTTCGCAACCGTTCGCAACCGTTCGCGCGATCCCCGTATGGCCGTGCCCGGAGTTGTCACTTTTGGAGGTTTCCAACGTTTCGTTGCTTCGTTTCGCGTGGTAGGCGTGGCACTTTGTGACATTCAGACGTGTTTTGTAACGTGTCGAAAGTCGTTTTGTGTGGCAGGCGCAATACTTTTGCGACGTTTTCCGACGATGCGTGGCAGTTTTCGTGGCAGGCGCAGCACTTTGGACGCGTCCATCGTCATTTTGCGTGGCAGGCACAACTTTAGACGTGTCGTTTCACGTGTTTTTTGCAAATCGCATTGGCATGGCTTTGTCAAGTGGCGACAATGTGCAAATTCCGTGGCAGGCGTGGCATTTTGTGACATGTGATGAAAATTGACGGAAGCCTCACACGAAACATCGATTTTGAGGTTGCAAATTTTAGAGGTTCCTAGGAAAACTCGTAGGAAAACGTCGATTTTGAAGCTACAAAGAGTGAAAATTGGAGGAAGTCTCGCACGAAATGCTCGTTTTGGTGCTCCCACGTGTCTCGTCTCGAGTCTCTGGTTTTCCCGTGGCTTCGCCGTGTCTATGGGGGAAGCTGCAAAACCTGTCCTTTTGTCATGTTGCCAACTGTGAAAATTGGAGGAAGTCTCGTACGAAATGCTGGTTTTTCTGCATCCACGTGTCTTGTCTCGAGTCGCTGGTTTTCCTGTGGCGTCGCCGTGTCTATGGGGGAAGCTGGAAAACCTCTCCGATTCAAATGTGTCCAAGCAGGTTGTCATGTCGTTTTGCGTGGCAGGCGTGGCACTTTGTGACATTCCAAGCTGTTTGATAACGTGTTGAAAATGTCAAAATTGGAGGAAGTCTCGTACGAAATGCTGGTTTTTCTGCATCCACGTGTCTTGTCTCGAGTCGCTGGTTTTCCTGTGGCGTCGCCGTGTCTATGGGCGAAGCTGGAAAACCTCTCCTATTAGAATGTGTCCAAGCAGGTTGTCATGTCGTTTTGCGTGGCAGGCGTGGCACTTTGTGACATTCCAACCTGTTTGATAATGTGCCAAAAATGTCAAAATTGGCGGAAGTCTCGCACGAAATGCTCGTTTTTTTTTGCACCCACGTGTCTCGTCTCGAGTCTCTGGTTTTCCTGTGGCGTCGCCGTGTCTATGGGGGAAGCTCCGCACTCCACACTCCACACTTTACACTACGCACTACTACACACTCCTTACTTTACACTCCACACTTACACACGTCACTTTCCACACTCCACACACACTCACACTTTCACACTCCACACTTTACACTCCTCACTCCACACTTTACACTCGTCACTTTACACTCTACACTCCACACTCTGCACTTTACACTCTACACTTTACACTCTACACTCCACACTCCACACTCTACACTTTACACTCTACACTCCACACTTTACATTTTACACTGCGCACTCCACACTCTACACACCAGACTCTACACTTTCTCACTCCACATTTCACACTCCACACTCTACACTTTACACTCCACACTCCACACTTTACACTTTACACTCCTCACTCCACACTCTACACTCCCCACTTTACACTCCACACTCCACACTCTACACTTTCCACTCCACACTCCGCACTCCACACTCCACACTTTACTGTACACTCCACACTCCACACTTTATACTTTACACTCCTCACTCCACACCCCACACTTTACACTCCTCACTTTACACTCCACACTTTCCACTCCACACTCCACACTCCACACTTTACACTCCACAGTACACACTTTACACTCCTCACTCCACACTTTACACGCCACACTTTACACTCCACACTCTACACTTTACACTCCTCACTCCACACTCCACACATCTCACTCCACACTCCACACATCACACTCCTAACTCCACACTTTACACTCCTCACTCCACACTTTACACTCCTCACCCCACTCTCCACACTTTACACTCCACACTTCACACTCCACACTTCACACTCCACACTTTCCACTCCACACTCCACACTCCACACTTTACACTCCACACTTTACACTCCTCACTCCTCACTCCACACTTTACACTCCACACTTTACACTCCACACTCCACACTCTACACTTTACACTCCACACTCTACACTTTACGCTCCACACTCCACACTTTACACTTTACACTCCTCACTCCACACTCCACACTCTACACACCACACTCTACACTTTCCACTCCACATTTCACACTCTACACTTTACACTCCACACTCCACACTTTACACTTTACACTCCACACTCTACACTCCACACTTTACACTCCACACTCCACCCTCTACACACCACACTCTACACTTTCCACTCCACACTCCACACGCTACACTCTACACTCCACACTCTACACTTTACACTCTACACTTTACACTCTACACTTCGCACTCTACAATTTACAAACTCCACGCTCCTCACTCCACACTTTACACTCCTCACTTTACACTCCACACTCCTCACTCCACACTCCACACTTTACTGTACACTCCACACTCCACACTTTATACTTTACACTCCTCACTCCACACTCCACACTTTACACTCCTCACTTTACACTCCACACTTTCCACTCCACACTCCACACTCCACACTTTACACTCCACACTTTACACTTTACACTCCTCACTCCACACTCTACACTCCCCAGGTTACACTCCACACTCCGCACTCTACACTTTCCACTCCTCACTCCACACTCCACACTTCACACTCCTAACTCCACACTTTACACTCCTCACTCCACACTTCACACTCCTCACCCCACTCTCCACACTTTACACTCCACACTTCACACTCCACACTTCACATTCCCCCTTTCCACTCCACACTCCACACTCCACACTTTGCACTTTACACTCCTCACTCCACACTCTACACTCCACACTCCACACTCTACACTCCACACTCTACACTTTACACTCCATACTCCACACTCTACACTTTACACTCCGCATTCTACACTTTACACACACTACACTCCCCACTCCACACTTTACACTCCACACTCCTTCCTTCACACTCCACACTCCACACGCTACACTTTCCACTCCACGCTGCGGACTGGTAACAAGGGAAACATGTACAAGACTGTTCAAATAAACTATTGCAGAAAGGTATTGTGCGTGACTGCATATCCATGTGTTTTGACATCTGTACCATTAACATACGTGTGAGCATTCGGGTTCGTGGGCTTCATCTTGTTTTCTGGTCTCGTAGTGCGTGTACAATGTGCGGTATTGTGGTGTTGGTGGTGGTGGCCGCTGGGGCGGAGAGTCTCTTGCCAGGCTGCATGTTAGAAAATGTTAGAGATTTACTTAGTCTTCTCTAGAGACTGTAGGAAGGCCTTTTCCTGCGATTCTACTTGGCTCACGCTACTTCCAAGCCCTTCACTGTGTTTGATGCACTGCCGTTTTTATTTTATTCTGTGGGAGATGCTTTGAAAGAATAATTGACAGGATAACCATTCCGCAGTCAGAAGCCCAGCGCAAGCTCGCCTTGCGCGCAATCCTTGCGCTTTTTTCGCCTTCAAGGTTTTTTGCTGCTTCAGAGCATTCAGGCCATCTCAGACAATCTCAGACAGCTCAGGAAGAAAAGGGAGAATTCGTGTCATCGCGTAGCAATTCCGTGACCTGTCGTGCTTGCTCTCCGGGCCGTTTCTCCTCGTTGGTTGTGGACAAGGATGGGGACACAGCAGAGTGTCGCTCCATGGCAGCAATTTCTGTCGCAAGTTGAGAGGGTCAAGAAGAATGCAAAAGTTAAGAGGCTCAGAACAAATAGGAATAGGTCCAGGACGGTCCAGGTACCGGAATTTGGGACGGACCAAATCTTGATAGGGCTGGCAGTTCGAGCGGCTCTAGTAAGCTTCGCAGTCTCAATATTCTTTTGCCGATGGTTTCTGTAAGATGTCTCCAACAAAAATCGCAGTATCTGCCTGTCCTGCATCTGAGGACTGTGCCCAATGGGCTCTGCGCAAGCGTCAATGTCGGCTGTGAAGTGTGATATGTGCTCTGTGGGCACCTATGCTTCGGAAGAAGGAAAGACAGAATGCCACCGTTGTCAGAGAGGCCGCGGAAACGAAATGCTGAAACACAACTCGGACAAAGAAAGCACATGAAAATACCATTGTCATAGACCACAAAAAAGATTTCGAACATACAGTATTGAGAAAAGCATGGCTGGCGCAACTGGAACGGCCGCATGAAGGCAACTCAGAATGTCCCATTTGAATTTTTGCGGAACACGGATGCCGGGGGAAAACCAGTGAAATTAAAGCTCCTGGCTCATGTCCCCCAACTTCCGGAAAGATTTGCACCGTGACCATGATCATGACGAAGATGAGGAAGAGGATGGGGATGAAAAATCAGGATCAGGAACAGGACAATGATATGATGATTGGTTGATTGATTGATTAATTTGATTGATTGATTGATTGGTTGGTTGGTTGGTTGATTGATTTGATTGATATTGATTTTGATTTGAATTGATTTGATTTTGATTTGATCTGATTTGGATTGATTTGATTGGATTGATTTGGTTGATTTGATTGATTGATTGATTGATTCATTGATTGATTGATTGATTGATCGATTGATTGACTGGTTTGATTTGATTTGGTTTGATTTTGATTTGATTTGATTGATTTGATTGATTGATTGATTGTTTGATTTGATTTGATTTTGATTTTGATTTTATTTGATTTTATTTGATTGATTTGATTGATTGGATTGATTGATTGATTGATTGGATTGATTGATTGATTGGTTGGTTGGTTGATTTGATTGATTTGATTGATTTGATTGATTTGTTTGATTTGATTGTT